AGTTTCCGAAAGTTGCTAATCTGAAGCGGTAAACGCTCATTTGCTTCGTGAATAATGTAAAACCATAACTCATTTTTTTAAGTTTCAAAATCCGAAGAAAGAATCCTGCTAAAATTCGGTGGTTCCAATAAAAAATCTATACGAAAGGGAAAAATGATGCTGTTTCCTGTAGGGTTTCCTCTATTTACGCATTATTTGTACTCCTTCCGAGGGTTGCTTCCGAGGGTTGTCACAAAAATGTAGAAGATTTGGGAATTTTGATCTTCTCAAAAAGCATAGATCGCAGATTTTGGTAATTTTTTAGAAGCTCATTGATTATTATGCAATGACATTGAAACCATTAGAAAGAAGCTGAAATGCTGCACTGAATGCTACCAAGATCTCTTACAAATCTCCGTTCCACGGGATGTGGCTTACCTTTAGAAAAAGCGACATTACTTTCGGAACGACCTAATATATAGGGATGAGTGTGAATGAGGCAAATATAGATATCGTAATGACATCCAAAAGAAGCTCAAAATACCGTTTCTTTAGACAGCGATTGAGCGTTGGAATTTTACGAAAGCTGTTGAAATTCAATAAAAACGAGAAACTGTGCTCAAATCTTGCGCAGAGAGTCGCCACATAAATGCTGGTCTATCTCGTTATGGAGTGATTTTCAAGACCCGCGACGTTGTCAGTGCTCGTGGCCGTCTCATGAGGATCACAACGATACATAATTTTATGGGATTTCGTTATGACCCGCGGAGATCAAGACCAGAGCCAAATGCCCCCCCCCCCGCCTCTGATCTGTCGCCGCTGCTCTCCGCCCGTTGCGCGCTACCTCACTACCTCAAATGCGGGGCGCGGGGCAGCTTCGGTACCCTTTTGTTCGTTGTTCGGAGCCCAATTTCGACAATCTTTATATCATTTTAAAGCTCTTGATCTCTAATTTCACGCTGGCAACGTCGCAAAACTCCTTATTATGATTTGAACGAGAAATCTGGAAAAACGGCGTTTTTGAAAACCTCTTGTTTTTTTTCAGTTTAACAAATTTCCCTTTTTTTGTGTATTCGATAGGTCTTGTTTCTTTTCTATGATGAGACAACGTCGCCAAGTTTACTTCTTTGCTTATGCCGGTTTTTTGTGAAAATTATTAAAAAGTGCGGTTTCTTTACCTTGTTCTCTTTAAGTGCTTTTGCAACGAATTTTCTCCAGCTCGGATGATACTTGCTCGGAATGATGAGCGGAAGAATCCAGACGATGTCGCAGGATAGGAAACGACTATGCGAGGGTGAAAATCTAAAGGACGCATCAAAAATCAGATTGGCGTCGATGTACAACATATCTTTTCAGACGTGTTTAACATGTTCAATACAGTTGTTGACAAGTTTTCTTTCTTTCGATCTCCCACTACCGCCACAACTAAACAGCGTTTTTTTAATTGGAAAAAATTTTTGTTCTTGTTGCCACCCAATTTAACTGGCAATCCTGATGAGGAAACTGTGCGTACGAAATCACCAAGTTAAGGTTTCAAATTTGGTGAGCTAGCCTCTGCTTTACATGAATTTTTCAAGTTTCCTGGTTTAATTCATATCTCTGAATTTCCATCCATTTTTCTGAAACAACCTTCACTTTTGAGGGCAGGAACTCAAACAGCTATCACTTTCTAGCCTCTATCTCTTGAGTATCGAAAGTATAATGTAGCGCGTATGCCTTCGGACGCGCCATTGCAAATGATGTGAGATATCGCTCAAAAATGGCTTACGCTTCAGAAGAGATCAATTCGGAGGAACGTTCAGAATAAAAAGTGGCCCGAGTGGCTCTATCAACATGGGTGTTCTAAAGCAGTCAAAAATCGACCTCTATTTAGAGTTGTCATAAATTTGCCCCTCATTATGATTATTGTACTTCCACCATTTTTACTAATTTTGAAGATCGCTTTCAACCTCATTATCTTCAAAATACGCACGTTGATGGGCAAAGCCACCTCCGCTTCAACTCTGAAGGGATTTCCCGCTTAGGAATACATCGTTTGCAGCGGTGAGTGAGGATCACCCACGTAGTTTGGGACCTGCTATGAGAAAGCCATCAAAATCTCAGAATTATCAATTCGGATGAACCACCCGGATGAACCTTTAGCGCGCAGGTAGCGGCACGTCTAAATTATCAAAAGGCAATCTTCGGCTAGACTCGAAGACTTGAGAGTATCACAACGGTAAATTCCAATTCAGCCACTCGTAAACGCCGTGCTGTATACACAGAAGTGAGAAAGCTGAGAAAGCAGTTGAGAAAGCTTGAAGTTTTGCTTTTTCTTAAGTCCTACTACACGTCAAAAACAACCTACTCTTTGATGCGTCCTTAGATTTTCACCCCCTTTGCACAGTTTCTGTTTGGGGCGACGTTGTCTGCTTTGTTATGCTCATAATCCTGAGCAAAAATGTCCCCAAGTAAGAAAGTTGCTTATGAATTCTATTAAAGGCTTATAAACAAAAACGCACTTTCTGAAGATTTTCAGATATTTCACCGCAATGAAAGAATTTAGCCCCAACAAGTTGTCCGCATTATGAAAGCAAACGTGGCAACTACACAGAACTTGTTTGAATTTCCAACCATTTGCATGACCATGGATGGTCAGATTTAATTGTACTGGATTGCCCAAAACTAGATCCCTTGCAGAAATGCTTGGAAATCTTTAAATTTTTGGCTGCAAAAGTTCGGAGACAGCATGTTCCAACCTTCACTGTGTTTTTCCAAGTAGCCAAAGGTCGTAAGCATTCAAACACCAAACTAATCGCCTGTGCACTCTCAGCTGGGAACGAAATTGAGAAATCCAAAAAAAATGATTTTTTGAGAGGCTAGACGCATAGGTGGATAACTGGCTTTTTTTATGACGGAATTTCTGAGTATCTAATATGTGAGAATAAAGGCTTAAGACTATTCTCCCACAAAAAATCTTAGTAAATTTCCGCTTTTCGAATTGTTATAGAGCTATGAGTTTGCATGCCAGAACCAATATCTAAAAGCCAGCCTAATAATTAGTAAAATTTACAACCTGTGGGTTTTGATCATATACCTTGCGCACCAGAGCGGTTAGTCCTTTTTCTTCATTTTCTTCAAGTCTTTAATGCTAGCAAGCGGAAAGGTGTAATTTTGATCTTTATTTCTTCGTGTAGAATCCCGTTAGACATTACTGTCAGTGGAGTTGTAAATTTACATGACAGCAAATACATGCGAATTCCGGTGTCACGGGATAAGCTAAGAATTACTATGAACACTTTATTTGATCGGAACATCAACTATAAGGCAACACCTATTGATGAGTGGTTGTAAGGTAATTTACTCATAAGACTTCACCATGCTGTTGCATAACAGGGTATTAGTGAAGCTACATTAGCTTATCTTGATCCGCTAGTCTTTAAAATGTTTAAAATGTTCAAAATTTTGTCCATTTATTAGCGTCTCATTTCAAGCTATAGAATGAATAATGCATAATGCGTAGCACAATGTTAATTGCCAAAAAATTATTATAAGAGATCTTCCTTTACCCTTATGCCTACCTTGTCCATTCAGAGATTCCACGCAAATGTGGAATGTATAGTAATGACGTCCATGCCAAAGTGAAGGCTCTAGCCAACGTCTTCACATAAGCCAAATTAAAGTTACAATTTTTTTAAGCATAACGTAACAAAGAGCTTGGGCCGAACATTATCAACTTGTTAGTGGTGCCCTTCGGTTCGCACAATTAGTGGATTTAGTAGTCCTGAATCGCGCTGCGTCAATCGTTCCAGCAGGGGAAAACTTCGGTCGTACATCTCGGTAGTACGCTGTTGTTGGTGTGATCAAGTAGATATAACAATTTTTGCTATACGGTTCTGTCTTCGCGTTGAGGTGTAAACTAAATTTGGTCTTGCAATGGCATATTTGATTCCTCTCGAAGCTTCTGGCTACTTATAGGGCTTTGGCTTGCCCGTACTTCCAAACGACGTCCTACTAGGCTTTTGTATAGCTTACTATCATACCAGCAGCGAGAATGTTAATCCACATTAATCTCAAAGCCTTTCTATGCACGGTTGGCCTAACCCCTATTACAGGCTTGCAACTCGTTTGGAAGCTAATCATAGTCCTTCGCTAAATCTTGAGCGGCTGATTTTCTTTAGCATGGTGTGACCGCTGCAGTCTCGCATATCGAGCATATTTTCCATATTTCCACTCGTTCAATGGAGGCATTACTTTGAAGCACTATAGAGTCAAACTAGTGAGCTAGGGAGCGCCATTGTTGAAAAGTAGAGTTTCGTTTGCGATTTTCCGTTTGAAAATTTCCATGTTCTTGTGGGTCAATTTCTCAAACAATTAGAGTTTTCAAAAGAAGTGTGGGGGGAGCCTAAAAAGGCAGTTCCCATCCATGTTCTTTCTGTATTTACATTAAAATCTGCCAATCTTCCTTCTCTAGTTCGTCTCAGTTCGAAAAATTGTCGTTGCATGGGTATTTTGGATTTGTTACTGATATTAGGAAAAAAGCTTTCGGCAATTGATGCCGATGGTCTTTTGACGTACATTTTTTTACCAGCGCTTTCAATGAGCATGCGTCTAGTTGAAACCTTGGTGGTCCATACGAACGAGACACTGGATGTTGTATTCGGTCGCAATTACTTTGATCATTCGAATTCGTTATGCAAATTTTGAATTGATACCAGAACATAGCACAACTAATTTTGGCAAAGTGTTGTTGAGCATTTGGGCTCACTTGCTTACGGGCAGTGTCAAAGAACTTGTCGCACTCTTAGAATTCCTTTTACCTTTTATGATGATACATGATATAGATATACCGTTACCAAAGGAACGTCTTTGGTTCTGTCAACAGGCTAAAACGTTTCGTCTATATGCAAGTTGTCTATGCAGTATCCGAGTGATAGCTAAGAGACATCCACAGTGGGAATGCTCACATGATTGCACATCATCATCCCATTTCAGTTAATTTTTTAATTACTTGAAATCAGAGTCTAACATCAGAGCGTGAAGCTAAAACATCAGAGCGTGAAGTCTTTATTGAATATGGATTTACCAACATAGTTGCATATGAATACAAATTTTTTCCGTTTCGACGTTGTTCTGAAAAAATCAGAGTTATTCAAAAGCGCAAGTCATAAAGTTGTACACTACTTGGCTATGTGCGCGTCGCAGGGAACATGAATATTGATGCATATCAATTGCTGACTCACCTTTAATTCTGCCGCAATTCTGTCTATATTATCCTTTACCATGCTCTTGCATCCTTCCGCAACGAGGGGAACGTTGTCACAGAACTTGGTTGCAAACTGAAGGATGGCTTATTCTTGGTTACTAGAATAAGGCTGTTTGAACATTATGCTCATGTGATGCTTCAGTCGTCGAAAAAACGCCCAATATATGCACTGTGTTGTAATCAAAGAAGAACCTGTGTAAGACCGCTAACTCCTCCTTCAACATGTCCTTTCAATTTGCCAACCAAATCTTTGCACATACCACAAAAGGGTAAGTCCCAATACGCGACGTGACCCTCTGCCAAGACAATCACCGCTAAGAGAACTAGCAAAAGTCTCATTTTCTTCAGTTAGCCTGCCTGAAAAAACGCTCTCTATCAGCTAAGTTATGACTTGAGGAAGAATGAACAAAGCTGGACAAAGTAGCGATACTAAACCGCGTTTATATAGCGAGAAAGCGAGAACCATCTAATATTTTCACTGATAAGTGGAGTGATTTTGGAATTTTACCTAATTAAGCTGTCTGATCTGACTGTAGGTGAAAATTCAAAGCACATGGGACTTTTTAGTGTTGCGTAAAGCTTTGAAAATTAGATGATAAGACAAAGAGCATTATGTTACAAAGTCCATATATACGGATTAATTTTTGCAACTTCGAACGACAATCTTCCGTTACGATGGAAGCAAAAATTCAGAATTTGTTCAAAAAGGTAAGGAATATGCTACGATCGGATGAGATGTAGAAGTAATGCGTTAGAATTAGCGTTAAATCAAATGGATGACATTGTGTAGAACATTCAATTAGTCCAATACGAAGCTAGGCAAATTGCGATGATTTGACACCTTGCCGTACATCTATTTCCTAAGAGCCTCCGACATGTCGATTAGATGTGATTTTCCATCGGCATGTCATGTTACTTCTATGGACACTATGAACCATTCTGCTACAAATCAGTGTTTCCTACGTTCCGGAATCTTGTCTTTCAAACATGCGTGACCTGTGACTTAAAACTCGATTGTCGACGGATCTTGGCATTTCTCTAATTCCAGCTATATTATTTGAGCTGTAATCAAAACTTGTAACGATCTTTATTGAACTCGTAGGGTAACGTTTGAAGATAACGCCTTCATCAGAGTCTAAAAAGAACAAAAACCATTGCAACCTGCACCTCAAGCACCGCATCTAACGCAAAGACCTAATTCAGCAGAAGGTAGCGGGGATGATGACAGGAGAGACACTATGCTAACGCTTGCCCTGATAGCCTTCGGTAGACAGTGAGAGCAGACCACCCACAGCGCCCTACTGGTATGCATATACCAGAATGCCCCATTTTTACAGTTGACCTGACCCGATTCCTAGGTCAGAACCCACATAGAGCTAAGTAGCTAAGTAATACGAGACCGGGACCAGCTCGTTCGTAGTGGCAGTGCACAGTTTTTTGCAATTAATTTTTGGGTTTTTGATGTAATCCGAAACGCTTCTAATGTCTTGCGGGCTATTGTGTAGACCTCTCGATGATATCGTGATACCTGCGCTAAACTGCTGATTACCATGAGGTTGCTTGTGGTGGGCGCCTAGAGGGGTATACTTTCAGTTTTTCGAGTTCATTTAGGTGCCTCGTGACCCTTACACACAAAGGTCTACAGGTTTCCCGCTACTGATCTCCAAATGATTGGGGGGTAAGACAGACTACGCGACTCCATGCAATCCCGCTCCTTTTCAAATGGACAAACAAAATGGACAAATCTGGCCTTGGAACGCTTACAACTTCCTCCAGAGAAAGGCATCGCAGATATAGAAGGTAAATTTAGTATCAGCTCTTCGAGGCTCACCTAATGATTTGCGTTTCGTTCCATGGGCCACCTTAATTTAGGATCGTTCCCTTGTAAGTATGCTCGTTTGCCTGATCGTATACCGCACCAAGAACACCACTTCGCGTTCCTTTTGTATGCGACGAGCTCAGCAGAGCACTAAAAAAAAGTTTTCAGCACGCGGTGCTTGAAAGCGACATACGATGTGCGTACGTAGCGACGGGTCATAGACATCCCACCCCCTCACATCACAAGCTAACACGCAATCGCTTCTATGATAGCTTATGCTCAAGTCCTAGTTGTTTTTGTCCATTTGAAAGGGAGCGGGATTGCATGGAGTCTCGTAGTCTGTCTTACCACCCAATCATTTGAAGATCAGTAGCGGGAAACCTGTAGACCTTTGTGTGTAAGGGTCACGAGGCACCTAGATGAAGTCGAAAAACTGAAAGTGTACCCCTCTAGGCGCCCACCACAAGCAACCTCATGGTGATGAGCAATTTAGCGCAGGTATCAGGATTTCATCGATTTAGCTCTACACAGTAGCCCGCAAGACATTAGAAGCTTCAGATTCCGGATTACGTCAAAATCCGAAAACCAATTGCAAAAAAGTGTGCACTGCCACTACGAACGAGCTGGTCCCGGTCCCGGTCTCGTATTACTTAGCTCTATGTGGGTTCTGACCTAGGAATCGGGTCAGGTCAACTGTAAAAATGGGGCATTCTGGTATATGCATACCAATAGGGCGCTGTGGGTGGTCTGCTCTCACTGTCTACCGAAGGCTATCAGGGCAAGCGTTAGCATAGTGTCTCTCCTGTCATCATCCCCGCTACCTTCTGCTGAATTAGGTCTTTGCATTAGATGCGGTGCTTGAGGTGCAGGTTGCAATGGTTTTTGTTCTTTTTAGACTCTGATGAAGGCGTTATCTTCAAACGTTACCCTACGAGTTCAATAAAGATCGTTACAAGTTTTGATTACAGCTAAATAATATAGCTGGAATTAGAGAAATGCCAAGATCCGTCGACAATCGAGTTTTAAGTCACAGGTCACGCATGTTTGAAAGACAAGATTCCAAAACGTAGGAAACACTGATTTGTAGCAGAATGGTTCATAGTGTCCATAGAAGTAACATAGTACTCTGCGTTGATACCACTGCTT